TCTATTTTTAGGTTACCTATTCTATTACATTGATCTGATTTTTCTCGTACCTGTATCATACTGTTTTATTGATCATAGCTTTTCCATATGCTCAATGATGCCCTGAATTTCAAAAATTTCTGGGTTTCTTTCATCTATTCATTCCTCCAGGTGACTCTGAGAACCATTTTGTAAAGTTTCTCACTCCAGAAAAAAACCTGTTGAGATTTAAAGTTCAAATTTTATTAAAATTCAAGATGACCTGATAGTTCAACTCTGTATCTGTGCATCTCTTTTTATAGTTCTCAGAAGTAGTTTCTCATATTCTGTTGTTTAGCTATCCCTAAGAGAATGTGGCTGAATGCCTGAAGAAGTGGAAATACTAATAATACAATCTGTGTATATTATATAATGCTACTGTTTTTAGTGTGAGAAGCTGCCTTTTAAGAAATACTATGTCCATGATGTTTTTTGTTTTTGTTTTTGTTTTTTTGGGGGACAGAATTTCACTTTGTTGCCCAGGCTGGAGTGTAGTTCACAGCTCACTGCAGCCTCAGCCTCCTGGGCTCAAGTGATTTTCCCCCCTCAGCCTCCTGAATAGCTGGGACCATAGGCATGCACCACACCTGGCTAATTTTTGTATTTTTTTTTTTGTAGAGATGGAGTTTCACCATGTTGCCCAGGCTGGTCTCAAACTTCTGAGCTCGAGCGATCCTCCCAAAGTCCTGGGATTATAGGCATGAGCCACCACAGCTGGCCAATGATGTATTGTTAAGTGAGAAGAGCAATTTGCAGAGCATTGTACTCATGAAAATCTAATTTCTGTGGAACTGAAATTCTGTAGAGAGTGGAACCCTACAGGTATATGTCTTGTATATATTTGCTCATGCATGGAGCTCTTAAGGGTTGAGGACTTCACACCCTTGATTACCATGACAGGGTGGGAGTGGAGGGGGCAGGTGAATGGAGAGCAGATTATTAACCAAAAAGAGAAAGATAAAAAGGAAAATAAAGTTGCCAGTTGCTTCTGTGGTGGCTGGTGGCCACTTAGTTGCCTCTGTGGTTCCAGAAGCATTCTTGGTGGAGAGCCAACAAGTCTGCTTAGGGGCCTGGAGAGGAAACGTCTCAAAGGTGGCCAGTGCCCATGCATTGCATTGGCCTGGCCACCCTACAGGAGCTCAGTGAAGGTCTGATGGGGAAAGGTGCTGGCCCTACAGGTAAGCTGCGATCTGACCGCTCAGCCTGGCCAGCTTTCCTTCTCACTCACACACTCTGCCCACAGCAGGAAGCACTCCTGGGCTACTCCAGTCTGTCACAGTTGGAGCAAACACCCTTAGGCCTGAGCCTACCTACCCGCTGGTACAAAACCAAGCCAACAGACAAAGACTTGTAAGGTGGTGGGAGAACTGGCTTCAGGCCTCGGTTTGAATCTCAGCTGTGCCACTTACCAGCTATGCAACCTTGGGCCAGTTTCTTACCCACTCTGTTTCCTCATCTGTAAAATGGCTGTAGTGGGGATCAAATGAGGTAATGTGAGGGAAAGCCTGGCCCAGGGCCTGGCCCAGTGGAGCAGCCACGGGCAGTCCTCTTCCTCCTCTCTTCCTGCTAGTTGAGTCAGACATCAAGGACAGCAGGCAGAGCAGCTAAAGCCCCAGACTTCCGGGAGGAGCTCACGAGAAGGGAGGTGCACACACACACCAGGCCAGGAGCTGAATCTGCGCAGTGAGTTGGTGATTTCAGATGGATGTCACCCCAAAAGCTTCTTGGCTGAATGGGGCCCTGAAGAACAGGAGAAAAAGAACAGGAACAATGCCAGCGCAGAGAATTTCAATGCATGTCTTCTAGGCCAGCCTGGAGGGTGGGGGCTGCTGTAATGTCTGGTCAGCAAGAAGCATGAGAGGTGGAAGACATGGATTCAGCAACTGGATTTTCTTCTCTGGACACCAAGGAGCCACTGATGATACTGGGGTGACAGCCAGAGAGTGAGGGAGGACTGTCCCTTGCTCCAGGAAGCTGGGAGGTGGAGTCAGACTGCTGGAGGGCAAATCCTAGTTCCCTCACTAAGGATCTGGGGCAAACAAACACTCTCTGGTTTGTTTTCATGTGGGCAAAATGGGGATAATTCTAGAAACCACCTCACTGGATTGTGAAGATGAAATTAAGCTGTTCAGCTAGTCCATGGGAAGCACTGCCAGGGTTGGCTTTCCAGAGACGCACTCCTTTACCCTGGAAGAGGAGCATCTCAGCTCCTCAAGGCGTTCAACTTTGCCCCTCCCTGGGGGGCCTGGTGACTTTATCTTTCCACGTTCTCTTTACCTGAGGTACATTTTGCCTCCCATCTCCCATCCCAAGGCAAACATGAACCAGGGCTTGGAGCTTTTTGCTTTGTCTTTGATGCCAGCTCAAGTGTGGGTTGGTGAGCGATGGGTGGTCCTGGTGGGGAAAACCCGAGTCCCTACACCCCCCTTCCCGCAGGAGAGTTGCTTCTTTAGAGGACCCTGGTCCCCATAGTTGCAGATTCCTCAGAAGCCCTCACAGCGTTATCACTCAGCTTTCTGGTTGCTTCCATGCACCTCCCAGAGGGCAAGGGAGCCACTAGTTGGTGTGTGTGTGTGCACATACCTGTGCAGAGGGTTATCTGGGATCCAAGGAAGTCAGTTTGTGTCCAGGAAGCCTATTTCCTTTTAGAGGTTTGCAAATCTGAGAGAACTGGATCTTGGCAACCAATTCCCTCCTACCCCCCACCCAGTATGAAATCCAATTTGTAAGTTTCAGCTGTAATTGCCTTGAGCTGCTCTTAACAACTTGTGATCTGCCAACTGCAGTTCTTGGCTCCTATGGCACTAAAGTTCCTTTTCTTGTAGAGCAGAGTGCAAGCTCACTTAAGAGGAAGCATAATTTGCTGGGCCTTGGAGAAGAGGCAAAGAGCTCCTGGAGCAGAAGGTGCACACTTGCAACCCCAGGCAATGGAGACCTCCCCACACCAACTCACTCCAGGCAGGAAAGAAATCAAGATTCTCTGTGGCTTCAGTTGAAGGACCACCCTCTACAGCCATGGAGCTGCCAAAGGCCCCATCCACACGTCAGTGGCCCATCAACTCTGGCAACCCAGAGTCAGACAGGATGATGTCACTGAGGACCCACTCATGGAATTCCCAGGAATGAGTCCCATGCTGGGTAAGGTAATGGGGAAGGGGAATAGGATAATTCATCTCCAGGCTCTCCTGTTACACCAGAGGACAAAGCGATCCCACTGAATAGAAACTCAGGTGCTTTTTCTGGCCTTGTTCCACCTCTCCTGGAGTCTGGCTTGGGCAGTCCTGAACTGGTCCCACCATCCCCTGGCCTATATCCTTTCAGGGTTCCAGACGTTCCTGGGGGGTTGGGCTGCTTATTCTTGCGGCCCAATAACGAGATGCAGATGAACTGGGAGAGAAGGGAGTTTTTATTTCTGTAACCAGTTATAGGGAGAAGACCTGGAAATTATCGCCAGACCAACTCAAAATGACAGCTTCCCAGAGCTTCTACATCTTCTAAGCTATACGTCGTAAGTGTGTGTTCATCTAAAGACCTAAGTGACTAACTTCTTTTAATCTATCACTAAGGTCTGAGTCTTGAAGACCTTCCACTGGAGCCTCAGTAAATTTAATCCAGAGGGTCCAGGTGCTGGAATGATTACCCTTGTCTCCTGCTAAATCATGGAGGTGTGGGGAGTTCCTTCAGACCCCCAATAAACTTGTTTAATCCTGAATGGCTCCTGTTAAGAATTCCTTCATTATTTCATCACGCTTCAAACTCTCCGTGTGCTTTTGTTACGTCCCAGCCTTTCTGTAAGAGCACTGGCTCCTTCAGCTTTTAATGTTTAACTGAATCCCTCAGTTACGGAGGCCTGCGTTAGTGAGATCTGGCCTCCCCACAGGGTGGCACTCTGGCCAGCAGAGCTTCAGACAGCAGCCCTGCCCTGGCGTGCTCTGTTTCTGTGACCTCCCAACCCCAACTGCCTACCTTTTTCTTTGCTTCCTTTCCCGCAGAGGCCAGTTGTGCTGACAACTAGGAGGGAAGCCCGTGGGCTCTTCTCTGGCAAGCAGGCCATGAGGCGGCGGCAGGCAGGGCCTGTGTTCCTGGGGACCGTGCAGTCAGCCTTGCCGTTGACCCTTCCTCCTGGCTCAGGCAACACACAGAGCTTTTGGGTCCACACCAACGTGGGTTCTGTCATGCTGCTCCTCAGCAACATAACCTTAGGTCTGGCAGCCACTCTTCTGGGATATGCCTTAAAAAGAGCGTCTGCGAATTCCAGAGTGCTTGCTAGTAGACAAGAGCAGAGGCACTGGGTTGGAGACAGTGTCCACAGTAAGGGGTTTGGTGCTCTAAAATCTGCTCTAAATTTAGAATCTACACGTTTGGCCTTTCATCTGTTCTCCTCTAATAATGCGGCAGCTGTTGCTACCACTGCTGACCGCTGACCCTTCCTGCTTAAGCCAGGCAGCCTCTCTCTGTGCCACTGAAGGGTCCACACATTAGCTTGTCTGCCTTTGTGAGGCCCCTGTGTATCACTGTGTGTCAAAAACATGTGGCTCCTGCAGATGATGCAGGACCAGGCCCTGCCCCCGCTCATATTACCTGAAGGGCTCTTTCCACGGAGAGGGTCAGCCAGAGCCCGCTCACCAAGCCTCCCAACACGCAGTACAAACCCAGGACACCTGCAGGTGGCTGCTCACCAGGGGGCGATCTCACACAGCAATCTGCAGCCTTCTGAGGTCTGGGAAAAGCAGAATGCCTTTACTTTCTCTTTGGGGCCTGGTTTCCTCAAATTAGAGTGGGAATGCAGAGAAACAGAATCCATGTCAGCAGGTCATGAGGACCCAGAGTGCAGAAGGCACAGCGGCTGAAAGCCATCACTTCCTGTCTTATGGACAGGGCACTTGCCCTGGGGGGGACAAGACATAACTGTGTCTGCAACCAAACCCTCCCCAGTATGTCAGTGTGGAAGAGTCACCGAAAGAACAAGCATTTGTCTGGTCTTTAGTGTGTATTAAAATGAATTTATTTACACAGTAACATGATGCCACAGAGTACACAGCAAAGTACCACAGCAAACCAAAGGGTGGCGCCACTGGTGGCAGAGGGGACCTTTCAATGATAGATTTATACAACTTTACAATATGTAAGTAGAGGGGTGAAACTCCGGAAAGAGCAAGGAAAACAAGATTTTCAAATATAGAGTGTGGGCGGGGCCAGAGAGAATTAAAGAGAGACTGGAATGAGGACTGTCATGATTCGAATCGCCGACTAGGATGAAACCTTGCTTCTGTCTTAGCCTCATGCCAAAACGCCCTGCATCTCCTCAACAGAAAATCCCAACCCAGTGTGTTCACACATCACACTCTTTAGCTCTAACTGGCAAAGGAAGGGGTAACCACGTAGTATTTGGAGCAATTCCTGAAGCAGTGTGGTTCAACCTTTCAAAAATGAACCCCATGGCTGGTTCAACATGCAAGTTATCACGGGTGCAGACACACACATACTGTCCACGCACTAATGGGCAAAGTGGGTTTTCTGTACTACAACAATATTCGTAGCAAAATATATGACTCTGTACTTTTGCTAGGTTAAAAAATTTCCGACCTCTTTTGATTCCCTGAAACTTTCTTGATTTAAAAAAAAAACCCAACAACAAAAAACCATGAGGGTGGATGGGACAGGTCAAGATGAAAAGCTGAAATAAACACGGAGGCTTTCTGGAGTGGGAAACAGGTAATGGGATGTTCGGAATGCAGGCCCCTGCAGCCCACCTAGGTGGGGAAAGCTACTAGCAGTGGGTGATGCAAAATCTATTCTAATTGGAAGCAGTTGCAGGGAGGGGGTGTTTAACAGCTGTATAGCACCTTGTACATTCTGGGCACTTATAGATATTAAATGATGGTGATGATGAATGGTAAATAACTCTGTAGGAAGGTTATAAAAACAATCACAATTTGTTAAGAAATTTCCCAAGAGTTCTTTAAACAAACCTATTAAAACTACCGTATCTCTTAAAAAAAATCCTCCACTCTCAGTATCATATGGATATGATGTTCTCAAGCTGAGGTTTGGGCCACAGCCACAGCCATGCCAAGGGGAGAAGGAACTCTTCCTTCTCCTTCAATACTGAGGAACTTTGTATCTGCCAGGGCTTTCATCAGGATCATGATCGTCATCATCATCATCATCTTATTCAATATACGAAATGGACTTTTTAAAAAGGTGCTTTTCTGAGGATGGATTTATCAGCTAAACGCCCTGACACGGAATGTATGTGAACTCCCCTCCCACAGCACCTGTCACAACTCACCCTCATCACCTTAGAAGCATCAGGATAAAAAGGCTTGATTTCTTTGGTATCATCTCTCCTAGCATCTTGCACTGCAGTTCTTCTGGCCTCCCCTATGGCACCATGTTTGGTCCATGGGATCCCCACTTTCGGCACCGCCTAAGCACGGACAGCTGGACTTCAGTGCTCACCTCACAAGAGCAGCACTTGGATTTGTCTCCGGACAGCACTTTGGGCCTTTGAGAATATGAGCCTCAATGAGGTAAAACGAATAGCCGGGTTTTGTGGGCAGCCATCCTGTTCACTCGTTAGGCTGGAGCAGAGTGTTCGATCCTTATCAACTGCTGAGGGGAATGAAACACATGCCACGGTTGGCCCAGGAAGTCCAGCTGCTCTCACTCCCTCTCCAAGAATGTTCGTACTATATTTACACATCTAGAACCATTTGAAATATAGTGTAGTATCCTAAATCCATTCCTATTTCTGGGACCAGCCTGTACTTTTTCAGATCACTGCTGGTAAAATCTAGGAGAAAATCCTAATTGCAGTGAAATCTAGTGAAAACCCTAATTCCAGCAAAACCAAATGTCAGGTTATTTCCCAGCACCAAAGTATTCATAACTCAAAATTGAGAAGCTTAGTAGGAACCCAAAGATCTTTCCTGGAAACTTTGTAATACTAGAAACTTTAAAACATAATTTTCAGTATTTACTCCCAGAAATATCATTAATATTTCTAGAGCTTTAGATTTCTTGACTTAGAACTTTTCCATGTTTACAAACTTACTCGGAGTTTGGAAGCAAAACTGACCCCCACTTAATCTGACAATAGGAGGCTACTCCAGCTGTTAAAATCCTAACCAACACGTTTTACTTCTGGCTCCTGAACAGCAGCAGGGCAGGCAGGAGGAGTGCTTGTGCCCTCGCCCCAACCCATACGCCACCCAGTTCGTCTTCTGAGGGCAAATCTCGAAACTCATTGTCATATTCCTGGCTTCCAGTTCTAACTCAGCCCAGGGGTTGGTGATTCTTCTGTTGTCGTTCCACAGGTTCCAGTTACTCCTCTTCTCGTCTTGCTGTTGTTCTTCATGAATTGGCTTCTAGGCATCCCGGTAGTGTGTACACCAACAGGGCTCGCCTCAGCCAGCGCAGGAGGCTCCCTGAAGTTCTAGTCCTCTTTGTGAAGCATCCACTGAATCACTTCCAAGTTACCACGCTAACAAGGCACTCTGCTGTACATTCAGTCTTGCTCTTGGCTACCTTAGCCACCGCTGTGTTCCTCTAGCACCCAAGTGTCATAGAGATTGTTCATGTGGCTTAAGGAGAAGTTCCAATAGGAGCTTAATTGTTTAAACTCTCAATATAAATGGAAAAATCTATAGTATAGACTTCAATAGAAAACAATTTCCAATCAACATTGAAGGCAATAACTTGCTGTTACTTGAGAAAATGTAAAGTGCTATACTAGCCACAATTCAAAACATATATATATATAATGTGTGTGTGTATCTGTGTCTACAGAGGGTAGGATTTCTTTTCAGTTGGTGAACAAATTCAAAGTCCCTGTCACAATTAAAATGAAAAATATTTGTGATAATGTTAAATGGACTGAATTTCATCTTTTTGGAAAAATATTCTGAAGACCAACTTATGTAGTAGTCTGCCTAGAAATATAGTTTCTTTCTCTGTTCTGCTCTAACCTGTAACACACCCTTCCCTCTCTACCTCACATTATTTGGCCATCACCCAGAGAAAAACTAATCTAGCCACCTGTCTCTGGGAAGCCTGAGGCTCTTCTCTGGCTAGTTTGCATTCATCTTTCGCCCTTAACAAATCTGAATATAAAAACAGTACTAAAAACATCTGATGTGAAGAGGTGCTTGGTTTACCAGTGCTGTAAGATAATGGTAGTGGAGGTGTCCATGCTTATCATACCATAGAGTTAAAGACTGGATCCAAATCATAACAGAAAAAGACAAAGGAAAAAAAGATATGTAGAGACATAACAAATAGAGGGGCCAGGGAACATTCTGCCTTAAATATATAACCTCATTAAATAGTCAACATTCAAATTTACATGGGCAAGGCACCACGAGCGTGACATTGAGAAGGTATATCTCAATACGCAAGCCATTGCAAGGTGGGAGGTGGGGGAGGTGGAGGGGATGTGCTGGCTGACATGGTCAGCGGTTTGTGTGCTGCCACTTCAGTGCATAATCAGGCAAGGAGTTATGTGCACATGGGCTATGCTAAGATGAACCAAACACCAATCTTCAAGGCAAGGCGCAGCCATGCCACAGGACACCAAGAGTGCACTGCTGGCCTGCAGCAGCATGCCCACTCCACACGGCCATTCCTAGGAGCAGAGCCCTGCGCTCTGGCTAGAGGAGTCAAGACTCTTTGTGGGCTAACCAGCCTTCTCTCCCGGGAGTCCTATATTGCTGGCCACAGGATAAGGACATCCTCCCTACAGAGCCTCACATATTCTAATCACTTAAAAAAATAATAAGAGCACAGTAAAATACATTATTCTCCTTTCCTGATCCTCTTTGATATACACGAATCACATGAAAGGCTGTTAAAAATGTTAAAAGTTTAGAAATTTCCAAGGCCACTAATGTGCTATGTACGTAATACTACACAATCAGTCTTGGCTTTAAGGAAACTCTGCACTGGTAGATGAGGGGCCTCAGGGCTCGCTCACTGACTAGGCACAGAGAACATGTCTGTCAACCCTGCCACAGGTTGCTTCTCTACAGGCCTGGCCTTTACTTCCAGCATGCGTGTGCACGCACACATGGGCACACAAGTGTACACACACATTGTTCGAGTGACTCTTGGGATTTCAAGGTCAAAGTAAACACATACTCACAGTTTTGGATAAAACAAGCACAGGTGCACACATTACACACACACACACACACACACACACACACACCCCAGTGGAAGGAACGCTCATCTCTTAGCGCAAATATGTGCCAAGGGAAGAAGGGGGAAGGTTTCTGTAGACTCGCTTCAGGTGAAGTTGCAACATAAACACTGTAATATACAGCTAAAAAAATACATACAAAAATTGCACATATATCCATAGGAGAGGAGAACTGGCTGCACACATGGTGAACAGCTCTTCAGTCACCCACCTCAGCAATCAGAATTCCCGTGAGCTGTCCTCCAGAGCCATTTTAGAGAGAGTCAGAGGAGCCATGAGCCACTTACACTGGGAGGCAGTCTCTCTAGAAGAGGTCAACATTCTGAGGAGGAGGTCAGCAGTCTCATCAGTGGCCTTCTTCCCCACCCCTGCCTTCCGGCCATCCCAACAGCCCACCCCACTGTGCCCTCTAAGGAGATCTTAGAGCTCCACTGACAGCTGTTTCATTCAGGGGAACTGTTTACAGCATTTGGTAAACTAGTTAACACTGGCTACTGATAGTAGGGAGCTGGCCAATTACTGCTCAGGGGAAACTGCAAATGCTGACAGTTCTGACAGTAATCAAAGGGACTTTAAACTCTGTTCACTGATGGCCCCTAGAGAATTGCACATGCAAGAAAATCATCTCCTTATGTCCTGCCAGCTATTTATAAGCTCTGAGCTGTACTCCACCCTGCTGAGGCAGTGGTGACATTACCTCGGGTCAGCTCTGTAATGGGCCACAAGTGGCTGCTCAATCCAGACTTCATTGGCAAGTGGGGACAGAGTGGAGAATCGGGCAGTGGCAGCAGAGGGGAGACGATTGGGGCTGTCCTCCATGCACTGCACATACTTACGAATAATGGTAATGAAAATGGGTCTATGACCCAAGGATGGGATCTCTCCTTTTCTTTCTACTCTTTCCTGGAACAAAGGATATAGTCCCTGGTAACCAAAACTGGGCTGATGCTAAGGATGACAGTTCTGCCTAGTAAGTTGGTTGTTGACACCTTAAAGGAAGGGTCTGTTGTGAGAGTCTACTGGGTCATAGTAGAAACTTGTTACATTTGTCTACAGCTAGTGAGAATAAACATTCGGTGCTAAAAAGATAGGTGATATCCAGAATTACGGAGGAAATGGACCCTCAGTGAGGTGACTGGCTCACTGAGTTCATACCAAAGAAGCTGTCCCTTCAAGAACATGGATTTTCCTTTTTACCTGCATTTATGGGACTATTAGGATGGAAGGTGTTTCAAGGGAAGGCAACCGCAAGTTTGTGTAGCTGAATTTCTGTAAAGTTAAGACAGAATCAGCTTCTCACTTGATTTGAGGCAGTGGATAACCTTTCTGAATGGACTAGCTCGTTCATGGACAGGGAAAGAGGTTTGTCTTTCTTCTTTCCTTGAATTTGGAGTGAGCACTAGGAAGGGGAAGTGCGTGGGTGACAGGAAGAAGGTGAAGATGTGGTAAAAGCAGCATCCAGGTACACATTAACGGTGCTGCAGAATTTTCACAATACAATTGAGGGAATCTGTAGTGGCAAAAGCCAAATACTGAGCACAAAGCCAGTCCTCAAGGCTGACCCCACCTTCCCTGTCCAGGGACTTCTCAGCAAACTTGATCATGAGCAGTGTTCGCTTGATGTCTAGCCAGTTTTGGAGCAGTGTGTTTCTCTGCACTAGGCCAGGGCAGGTGGTGAAAGTCTGGAAGAGATCTTCGCGGGGGCCCCACAGCAGACACTGGAGGATGCCTTTGGCATCTGAAATGAGGATCCGCTCAGAAGGGTTGGGATTCAGGAGGCAGCTGGCCAGCTGCTGCAGACCCCGGGAGTAGGGGGAGCGGAGTGGGATGCGAGGCAGGTCTGCTCGTGTGTATTCCCTCTCCTTCAGCTCTGGGTTCTCATCGAAGGGGTTGGGTAGGTGTAGCATCTCATAGATGAGGATGCCTGTCTGGAACTCATCACACTTTTTATACTGGGTAGCCGTTATGATCTCTGGGGCAAGGCGAGACTGGTCCCGGAGGATTTCGGGGTCCATCAGATGGCTCTTCTGCTTGGCCTGAGAGAAGTTGCTCACTATAAGCCTAGTGGGATAAGAGGAGGTGGGGCTGGCCTCTGCAGGCCCAAAGCCTTGGGCAGTGCCCCCAGGCTGGTAGTGGACAAGTAGCAGGTTCTCTAGGCGTAGATCGCAGTGAGTGACGTGGTAGGGTTTGAGGTGCTCGAGACCAGAGCAGAGCTGTAAGAGCAGCAGACACACCTGCCTCTCATACAAATCAGGGCTTTTTCCATGCTGGGCCAGAGAATCTCGCACAAAATCAGCCACAGTGAGACACGGAACCTCCCTGGTGATGACTACGACATGGCTCCTCTGCTTTTTGCTCACGACTCCAGGGCTCTCTTTCGGAGATGCTGCTGCTTCAGAACAGGGCTTTGGGTTTTTCCCATCCATTTCTCCTTTGGCTTCTTCTTCAGTCTCTTCCAGGTCACCCTCTTCCTTTTCAGGGTCATCAGGATCCTCCCAGGGAAGCAGACGGTTAGGGACTTCAGCAAGGAAATGACCACAGTCCTGCTGAATGTTAAAATGGACGGCCAGACTCTGTCGGACAGCCAAGCTGTGATAATACTGCTGAGATTCTTTAGCCTTGCTCTTACAGATCTGAAAGATAATAAAACAATGTACAACTCACACTCTCATAACCAGGTTTATGATGTATCAGGGAGGGTTAACTGGAAGGTGACTGGTTAGGGACAAATGATCATATAGTAAAGTCGTTAGCCAGGGGTGCCCTAAGTTAAGTGACAGTAATAATGGTAGGAACCATTTCTCATGGTTGTCTACACGCCAGGCCGTGGTGAGTACTTTATGTGTACCATTTCTAGTCCTCACGTTAACCTTTCAAAGTAGACTGAGGCTCTAAGAATTAAAAAAAGAAAAAAAGCCCAGGGTTATCAGTTTGCAAACCCAAGTCTGTTTAATGCCAAAGCTTGCTCTTTCCACTATAACCCTGCAACTCATCAGAACAACAATAAAATAATTTTTCACTTACTTCTGTAGAGGTTTGTATCCCAGACTTACACAGCAGGCCAATGGACTTCTAACGTAGACCAGAATACCTTACTTCATCACCCATCATCCTTTGTGTCAACATCTCACAGGTTAGGAGAGTGATGTAACATTGGCCAGGTAAACTGTGGGTTTTCCTAACTTTTCAGTGAATGTCATTGTGATGGTCACAACACTGGCACTCATGGTTCACTGGTAGGGTTGAGAGAGTCACTGGTCTGACCTAGTCAGAACAAAGCCAACATTTGATGGCGGTTTTCTGAGTTTTATGCTTTCTCTTAACAGGCCTCATTTAACACCCACTATTGAGGCAATAAGACCTTTCATAAAGAACTTTATTAAGTGGTTATGGGTCCAGGAAGAATTTTGTGATTAAAAAAAAGTTAGGCAAGAGTTCTTCATACTGTGACAACAATTGTATTTCTACTCTTAAAGGGTTATCAAAGCAAAAAGTAAGTAAAACCACCCCAAATGGGTTATCCTCATGCTACAGAGAGGCTGACAGCGAAGACTCAGTCTCTAATACTAGTTCATGGATCTTAATCTACTGGTCTGGAGTCTGCTCCATGGCCCTGTTAGTGGAGGGTCATTCTCTGCTCTCTCTCCGCAGCAGGGGTACACTGCCATATAACACAAATATCAAAGGCTCCCAGCAACATGCACTCTCTGTAGTGCTTACATTGTCTGTTTATTATAATAATACAGAAAAGCAAATTTTAAAAAAGCAATTTCTAGTCATTTTTATTTAAAAAGAAAAATGTATACATTCTTATATACACATAAGAGAATTTGGATGGGTCCCCAGTTCTGAGAAGCAGCACATTCTGATTTCCATTCAAATAGATATTAAAAAAAAAAAAAAAGATCAAAGGCAAGGGAGTCTCAAGGGAGAAAAGCATCTCTCTCTTTTATTCTCTAGGTTACCACATTTACTACTGTTAAAGAGGCCTGATATCAGTGACCAGTGACATGATAATCTCTCTCCCTCCCTCCTTCCCTCCCTCTCTGAGCACAAGTTCCTTCAAGTCTTCTACTATCTACTTAATTCAGTTTGAGGATATACTAAGTACTTCTTTTTTAAGCAAACTTCTGTCTTGAACAGACGTTCCTAGGCTGAGTTCAAGTTCAAACATATATCTTTCAGAAAATATTATCTCTGGAAAGCTCTTGAGTCTTAGTGTATACAGTATAATATATAATCCTATATGCTCATCAATCATAACATTTATTACTCCTGTAACTGCACTGTTGACAATATTTCATATTTAAGTGTCACTAGGTATTTAAAAATTATTTACCAGTCATTGTTCAGTTGTACAGGAGCTGGATCCAGCACATGGTACCATTAACTCCATTGCCAGTTAAATTTGCTCAATATTACACTGTCTTCTGGAATGAAAGCTCAAGGGTCTCAACTCTTCAGTCCTTGAAAATTCTATCAAATACCACTAAATTTAGCTGAATCAGATTGGATGGTTAAACTCTAGCTGTTACATGGTAAAAAGGACACTCTCCAAGGGCTTGGGAAGCCTGGGAATTAGCTTTGCCACTAGCTGTATAACCTTGGGCATTTCTCTGGGTTTCAGTCTCCCTATTAAAGGAGACAATATAAAGAACACTGAAATCTACTTCACAGGGCAGTTGTGAGGATTAATTGGGATCAAGTATATAGAGTACATCCGTAAACTACAAAGTTGTACAAATGTAACACTGAAAATGACTAAAGGAGTTCACAACCTGCAAATGTCAAACTCATACAATCTTAGAGAATCCTAATTTTTTGGAACAATGAACAAAACAGAAAATACATCTTTATTTTGAGTCCTGAGAGCCACCTGCCACAGCAGTGAGGCTCTCTCATAGAGGACAGGCAGACAGAAACTGCTAACATTCAACACCTCCAAGCCAGGGTCATCCCTGACAAACAAGTTAACACCAGCAGTATGTTAGAATCCAAGGCAGGGCAACCTAAAGTTACGAGAGAGAACTGTTTTGCCAAGTCTAGTTTTAACTATGTCAGGTCAGGCTGAAAAAAATTTGTCACCTTGTGGTTTAACTTTAGAAGCAGAGAAGGTATTCTAATTGTGACTAGTTTTTGAATTGTGATATTCTAATTATATCTAGACATTCACACAGACACACACATTTTTATAAGGTCCTCCAGAGCTTAGTGAGTAGATAAGAATGTGGATACTACAATAAGAATTTATGTTTAGCTTCACAGATCTGCTTGAGATAAAGGATCAAAATGATTTACAAAGAAGAAATGATAAATTGTTCCACCATTTTAGATGCTGTAAAGGAAAATGGTCTCCCTAGATAGCCAACCTGAGTGGGCAGCACTTCCTTATCTCTTCCGTTTTATAATACATAGACAGGTGGAAGAATAATGAGTCCCTCTAGTTTAAGGGCAAAGGCAAAAGGGAGAAGACTAGAGGGTAAAGAGGAGAAAAAAGAGTGATTTTAGTTGGTTCATAACCCTGAAAACAGTTACCACCCAAACACAGACCTATGGAGATTTCCATAATAGGATTTTGCTTGATGGGTATCTCATAAATCTTTGTTATGGAGCCTGCAATGATGTTAATTTAGGTAGGAGTATTATAGTATTCTAGGTACCACACTGTAGCCATTCTTTAAATATTAATAACCCCTTTAGTTTAAAAAAAAAAAACTCAAAATGACCTGACTTCAGATAATAAATTTCTAGTTCAAAAGTTATTTCAGAAAACAAGTCAATTTTTTTCAGAACAAATGGATAGGATTTTTCCTGCCAAATCTCTTCTTTGTCCCCTTTCCCAGTATTTTCTCTACCAGGGATCAAAGTAACTTTTTCTTGGCTCTCATTAATCTTTCCTGAAAAGAATTCACATTTCTTCTTTATAAAGAGAAGCTGGCATGAACAGGAGGAATCTCAAGAAAGATTCTACTTGTTCATGCCAGCTACTCTGTAATCTATAAATGATTACTTCAGGACTGTTCCTAGGACCCCCAAAATTTGAAAATACGAATAAAAATAAACTAGAGTTGGAATGGCCCCACATCTTCGTTTAACATTCCCTTTTCTACTAGGAGAAAAATCACCTCATATTTGTCTTGTCTATGTTTGGGAAAATCTATCTACTTAAAATGCTGTGAATTTGGCAGAGTCTGTGCGGTCTACATGTCCTGAAAGGGAAGAAAAATGCTACGAGAGTCTGAGCCACAGTGACGCTAGAGGGAGCTACAACATCAACATCCAGGAGTAATTGACTTAACTGTGCAGCAGGAGAACAAAGGCAGGCTGCTGCAAGGTTGAATCTTCCTGAAAAATACACCACAGGGCCTCCTTCTGGTTAAGTTTTTGCTTCTATGATGGTGACAATGCCAAATGCATGCCACGGGAACTCCTCATGTGAAGAGCACAGGCAGGAAGAGAAGCCCATCCTGGGCACAGTGACCCTCGCCCACTTGTGAACTCACAGGAAATCCCTAGTTGAGCTCTTCTCCAAAGGAGTCACAGGGACATCAAAAGGGACAGCCTGCCAGCTGGTATATACATATGCACCAACATGAATAATGTACTGTTGCAAAAACAGAGGCTTGAAGGGAAACTGGGTGCTTGTCTGGGTTAATAAAGATCAGTGAGGACAGAGGAAGAAAAGGAAAAACATTAATACATTATATTCATTACCAATTGAGCTTTCAAACAAGTATCTCATGGGTCCTCAGCACTTCCCATCTGTAAGACACGGCAACCTAAAGCATTCCGACCAGATTCCCAAATACAGGGGTGGGGAGCCTTTAACCATTGATAAATCATCTCTTAGAAAACTGGGGGAGAGAGGAAACAACATATTGTCTTCCAGAATCAAAGCCAAATTACCCTCTCCTGAGACCTTCTCAGACTTGGGTCAAAGAATCCAACATTTACAATCTTAGCAGGGAAACAGAGCTTGAAATGGTTCCCCCTGCACAACCTGAAAAGTTTAATTCCAAGTATTCATTTCAGTTCAGGGGCTTGTTTTCCATGTTGCTCATGACAACCGCTCTGCATACCTCTGAGGCAAATTTGTCATTAAAAAGCGTTTATGTTTGTGATAACTGCAACCTAGATAGCTAACTTCTAAAAAGTAGACCGTTGGGGACTTTGACTGTCAAGTCCCATTAAAAGCAGCTGTGGAGAAGGTAGTGCTCTCTAACACCACGGAGCCTTTCAGAACGCCCACAAAGCCTGGGGCCTGTGAAAAGGACGTACCTCTTGCTGCTCTCTCAACAACAGAAATTGTGCTTAAGGCAACTAAGTCAGAGGGATGCGGGAAAGGTGGACCTTTGCAAAACTGGTGGATATGACTATGGAATTAATCTGTCGTTGAATGGCATGGTGTTACCCATTCTTCTTCACTTGCCCCTTTTCTTCCAAGCGTTCCTTGAAGCGCGGTGTTTGGAGGGTCTGCTCTCTATCCTAGTTTGTCACTGACACACTCTGTTCGGCAAGCTTGCTCGTGGCTTCAACCACTTCATATACAACACTGACTTCCGTATCGACATTTGTAATGCACACTTGTCTTTGGGCTTTAGACTCATCTGTACAATGACCTACTTGATTTCTT